AGAATTTTTTTTATTAATGTCTTATACATTACTTTATATACATGTTGACTAAAGTTTACTTAATGATTTATTTATTGCAATTAAGACTACCGTAATTCTTTGTGTACAAGCGGGATCAAACTTTTATCCTTTATTCTGTGTTTTTTATTTCTCTGCTACGTTGAAGCAGCCTCTTCTCTTCAATTCTATAAATTGCGTGTTGAATTGACTCACACTTGTCCCGATCTGGGCCAAAATGCATAAATAAATAAATAAAATTAAAAAAATAAATAAATAAATAAAAATCAGCCAGATAGACAAGGTAGCATAGAAGAAATAGATAAATCTATTGTTTTGGAATTTTTTAGCCTAATGTTCTTTTCTTTCTTGTAAAAAGTTAAGAGAGTTAAAAGAGTTAAGATAATGACTACCCTATTATGAAACAGTTTCTATATCAAACCATGAATTATATATAATACGCATGTACGACAACAAGAGAACTAAAAGGAAAAATCAAATTTAGCAATTGCATTTTCATTTCATTACCTATTATTTGTCGCCATGAAGTCTTTTCAAGTTAATACTGCTGAAAGGACAAAATATAAAGCAAAATCAAGTCGTATGAGAATAGGCACGAAAGAAGCAATTTCAACTGAGGAGGGGAAGGGGAGACATACAGGTATTTGTCAAATAGTTCATTGAAAAAAGAATGAAGAAAGTCAACAGACGCTATGAAAATTTGTGTGTGTTACCGGGGGGGGGGGGGTGAACTGGCATTTTTAAGCATATACTGGTAATGGTCTGGAAGCAAATTCTCTTTAGAAAACGGCTACAAGGTTTTATTGATTGTGTGGATATCAACGTCTTTTGCATTTAAGTGTGAGTGGGGGGAGGGGGTAACTTTTATGTCATCTAATGTTAATTACAGAATCAATCAATAAAATGTCCTGATGTTAAGGGAGAGAGGGGGATCCCGATAAATGTTCTTAAACAAAATTGCAATCAAAGTTTTAAACAATATAAAGAAAACAAATACAAATTTATTTAATTTCATTATCTGTTTTTTAAAAATTTTCCAGCGAAATGGTAGCGAAATGATAGACGTTTACAGCAGGTTAATACATTTTTTACTAGAAAAAATACCATATGCTATTATTAAATGAATGAGACTGCTTTAAAACCAAATAAACAACGATGGAAATTATAGTAAATAGTTTAGACATCGGGATCGAGATGCTTCTCTCACCTCGATACGTATGCGGATACGGATACTTATACGGATACGTCAGAAAGAACAATCTCTATTACAAAGTTATAGACCGTACAAGATTACACGGACAGATGGGCAAGATACATGCAATTTCTATATACTCCCCCCCCCCCAAAAAAAAAAAAAATTTATAACCCCGGGGTTATAAAAAAGACTGGGGATCAGACTTGTTTAATTGATGGGGTACAACATCTTCGCTAGCCAAAGGTTTCTGATACGCTACTCTCCTTATGCTTAGGTTTCTGATACGCTACTCTCCTCATAAACCCTTTGGCATACGGTGCTGACAAAAGACGGGATTGTTTTCGTCACGTGATCACGATTCTTACCAGGTTCGCAGATTGCGTCATCGACAGAAATAAAAAGCGTATTTAAAAAACATAATGTTTTTAAAGAATAATTAACAAGAAGGTATTGAGTTTTTAAACATGTTAAAATGCAAATCTACATCTTCAGTATAGATTCTTAATCACATATTTTGCACGTAGCTTAAGATATTGGATGACACCATATACTGATATAGCTATTCATAGAATGGCATGTTATCTTACGGATCGTTGTTTACTTGCGTTTTTCATCCCCGATATTAAAGAGTCAAGATATATCCCGAACGCAAATATCTTCATTTACAAAAAACAATTTCTGATTTGGTCGAACGATGTCGATCAACCCCAATCACAACTTGAGAAAAAAATCCCAACTTTTTTAAACACCGTATGCCAAGGGCTTATGAGGAGAGTAGCGTATCAGAAACCCTTGGCTAGCGAAGATGGGGGTACAACCGTAAATTAGCTCTGTTTTATGATGTAAGGACTAGGTATACCCTGGTAAATTTATTGAATAGGGAAATGCTCTTGTTTCTATAGTAATGTATATACTGGCAAAATTAAAGCCCCACCTCCTCCCTCGTGTTCCTGCAGGTCTGAATATAAGTTATTTTGTTCCTACTGTATATACAGAGGCATGTTTAATGAATATTTTCAGAAACAGCATTTTAGGACGACCTCACTACAGAGAAATGACCTTTAAAAAATCAAAGGTAAAGTCCTTTGGAGAGTGATCTTGATATTTCAGCAATGAGGTCAATGTTCGATCGGACTCTTACGATGTTTTTTTCGTATTAAAGTACTTCACGTATTAAACACATTTTTTTCCCGTTGAGAACTGATAAAAACCTGTTTCTTTTTATTAGCTCTACTGGTCAGAGACCAGAAGAGCTTATGCGATAGTAAGGTGTCCTTCGTCCGTCCGTCTGTCTGTCTGTCTGTCTGTCTGTCCGTCTGTCTGTAAACAATTTTTCAAAACGCTACTCCTCCTACAGTTTTGGTCCGATTTCAATATAACTTGGCACACAAGTAGACTAAACTAAGATACATAATTTAGTGCATCGGTTTTTGATTTCGATGGACGGTGTTGCCATGGTTACTAAAAATAGAAATTTCTGTGAAATTCCTTTAAAACGCTACTCCTCCTACAGTTTTGGTCCGATTTCAATATAACTTGGCACACAAGTAGATTACACTAAGATACATAATTTAGTGCATCGGTTTTTGATTTCGATGGACGGTGTTGCCATGGTTACTAAAAATAGAAATTTCTGTGAAATTCCTTTAAAACGCTACTCCTCCTACAGTTTTGGTCCGATTTCAATATAACTTGGCACACAAGTAGACTACACTAAGATACATAATTTAGTGCATCGGTTTTTGATTTCGATGGACGGTGTTGCCATGGTTACTAAAAATAGAAATTTCTGTGAAATTCCTTTAAAACGCTACTCCTCCTACAGTTTTGGTCCGATTTCAATATAACTTGGCACACAAGTAGATTACACTAAGATACATAATTTAGTGCATCGGTTTTTGATTTCGATGGACGGTGTTGCCATGGTTACTAAAAATAGAAATTTCTGTGAAATTCCTTTAAAACGCTACTCCTCCTACAGTTTTGGTCCGATTTCAATATAACTTGGCACACAAGTAGATTACACTAAGATACATAATTTAGTGCATCGGTTTTTGATTTCGATGGACGGTGTTGCCATGGTTACTAAAAATAGAAATTTCTGTGAAATTCCTTTAAAACGCTACTCCTCCTACAGTTTTGGTCCGATTTCAATATAACTTGGCACACAAGTAGACTACACTAAGATACATAATTTAGAGCATCGGTTTTTGATTTCGATGGACGGTGTTGCCATGGTTACTAAAAATAGAAATTTCTGTGAAATTCCTTTAAAACGCTACTCCTCCTACAGTTTTGGTCCGATTTCAATATAACTTGGCACACAAGTAGACTACACTAAGATACATAATTTAGAGCATCGGTTTTTGATTTCGATGGACGGTGTTGCCATGGTTACTAAAAATAGAAATTTCTGTGAAATTCCTTTAAAACGCTACTCCTCCTACAGTTTTGGTCCGATTTCAATATAACTTGGCACACAAGTAGATTACACTAAGATACATAATTTAGTGCATCGGTTTTTGATTTCGATGGACGGTGTTACCATGGTTACTAAAAATAGAAATTTCTGTGAAATTCCTTTAAAACGCTACTCCTCCTACAGTTTTGGTCCGATTTCAATATAACTTGGCACACAAGTAGACTAAACTAAGATACATAATTTAGTGCATCGGTTTTTGATTTCGATGGACGGTGTTGCCATGGTTACTAAAAATAGAAATTTCTGTGAAATTCCTTTAAAACGCTACTCCTCCTACAGTTTTGGTCCGATTTCAATATAACTTGGCACACAAGTAGACTACACTAAGATACATAATTTAGAGCATCGGTTTTTGATTTCGATGGACGGTGTTGCCATGGTTACTAAAAATAGAAATTTCTGTGAAATTCCTTTAAAACGCTACTCCTCCTACAGTTTTGGTCCGATTTCAATATAACTTGGCACACAAGTAGACTACACTAAGATACATAATTTAGTGCATCGGTTTTTGAATTCAATGGACGGTGTTGCCATGGTTACTAAAAATAGAAATTTCTGTGAAATTCCTTTAAAACACTACTCCTGCTACAGTTTTAGTCTGCTTCTAATATAATTAGGCATACAAGAAGACTATACTAAGATACATAATTTATTGCATTGGTTTTTGAATTCGATGAACAGTGTTGCCATGGTTACTTAAAATAGAAATTTCTGTGAAATTCCTTTAAAACGTTACTCCTCCTACAATTTTGGTCTGATTTCAATCTAATTTGGCACACAGTTAGAATACACTACGATACATAATATGTATTTCTGTTTTTTTTATTTGGGTGAATGGTGTTGTCATGGTTAAAGGTACTAAAAATAGAAATTTCCGTGAAATACTTTCAAAACGCTACTACTCCTAGTTTTCATTTGATTTCAATATAACTTGTCACAAAAGTAGACTACATTAAGATACATAATTCTATTTATTGTTGCATGTTGCAATGTTTCAAATCCAAGTGCTACTTTTCTTTTGTTACACAAACAGACCAGTAGAGCTACAGTCTCATCAGAGACTTCTGGTAATCATTTTTTATCTGAATCATCCAACTGCTGGAATATGAACCACAATACACAGTCTACAACCCAACAGTCTGAACAATGTGTAGATTCTCAAAACTTGAATGTTTTATATAGATGGTATACAAATTTTATCCGTCATTTACAATTCAAAACACGCTTATTTCCTTCAAACAAATAAAACTTTCAAATCAATTGACACCATTTGCAAAACACGTTCACGTTACAACTAAGGCAGGATTTCTGAATCTAACTATCCAATTTAACTGTCCATTTTAGGTGCCATGATAGCGATTTTCCCGTCTTTTCCACGAGCAGCCTTGACCTGTTTGTAATCCACACCCTCGGGAAGAGTGAACGCCTTACGGAATGACCTGTGCACTTTAATCCCGTCCTCATCAGTAGCCTCTTCTGCAGAAATACACACGACATTCTTTTTACGGGTAATGTTTATACTTCTGGGATCAAACACGGATAGATCTAGATTCTCTTGGTACGGTCCCTCTTCTGCAACCTGCATGTCCTCATCACTCCCATCAGTAATGGCGGGTACATCCTCCAATTTGACCTCCATTTCCTCATCCTCATCAGGCAAAAAGGGTCCCCCCACCGTGTAATGATTCTCGTTGCTCATGTAACAATGGACCTTACTTTGGTCTACTCCCTCGGGGATTCTTATGGTACGGGTAGATTCGCGGACATCGCTATTAAGCTCATCCCCACCAAGGTGTTTTGCATGGATCCTAACAGTACCATCCTTTACGACCACTTTCACTTCGTCGGGGTGGTAGTGGTCCAAGCGGATAGTTTTGCTCCATTTTTCGGGTATCTCACGACGCCTGTGGTGCAAAGCAGGGTGCTGTTGAGTTTGGGGTACTCCGGTCAACTCTTCATGCATCATATGCCTAAGCAGGTCCCGAAAAGAACCAGACTGCTGTTGTGCAGACATTGGACGATAGGAAATCGGCATGAAATCCATATTTTCAGTCTATTTCTAATCACCGGTACAAACAAAAAGAAATAGATGCTACAAACCACAAGGTATTACAAGCGTCAGTATGAACACCCTTTTATATAAGAAACGATAACTCGGGACAAAGCAGTTCTGGAAAGTTCATTGATCGCGTTGTTGACTGCCTTCATACGGAGACATGAGAGGGACTTAAAATATTACATAATACAATGTTTTAAAGTGATATCATTTTTTAGATAAATTAATAACTAAAAAATTCAAACTTGTATAACGAATGTTTCATTGTTAACTACAACGCTAGATTTTGTCAAACCGAGAGAGAGAATATCCTTCGATCTACCGGAAATTTATGTAATAATAATGAATTTCAATTAATTTTATACTTTTTTTTGGCTATGAATCATATTTTGTATAGTAAGCTGAATTATTAATCAGAATGTGCTTAAACTGGCATTTCATGAAAGTTTTCAATTCTGAATTTCACAGTCACCTGACGTATGGCACCCCCCCCCCCGGTAAAAATAAAGACTTGTAAAATACTTTTAAGTTATTCTCAAGTCTATTCTCCTCAGTATGACAAGTAGAAGGTCATTTTTCTTGTGAAGAAACAGGGAGTCTTTACTTGTAGGCGGATTTCTGAAGTAAATGGATGTAAATTGGTACTACCTACTTCATTCGTCGGACGTATACTCAGGGAGAGTTCCTTCAACCGATAGTCCATGTTTACTAATTGTTTTAAACTCGAGTATCTGATGTTGGTGTACCCCCCCCCCCCTTTTACACCACCAATTTCTGAGGACACGCTCGCGTATCGTGAATTCATTTAAAATACTAAACATAACGATTTAATATACTGATGTATCGGAGTGTAGGTGTTCTAGTGATTTAAAAAATCCCACAAAGCTTGGGGCATCGCCATCCATACGTTAGGCGTCTGGTGTTCTAAATATCAATACTTTTTGCTCATCTTCTAGATTAGCAGAAATGTTTCTAGTTTGTCGGGATTTTAACATGTCGATTTGTTCAATAAAATAAAGATTTTTTTTTCATAATAAAAATATACTTTAAATTATCTTTATACACAATATAGTTTCTCTTATTTTAAGGTATCCGACCCACATTAACCTCAGATTCAATGGAACTGAATGCATGACAGATATGTATGGGCTGAATACTCAGTAAATTTAGACAGTCCTTGTCTATACATCTACATTTCATTTCAAGCGGAATGACCTTGTATAGCTGATTCAGGGCCAGTGCCTCTTGGGCAAGTGCATCAAGATTACGGTACGCTCTTTGTGCCATCTGGCGAATATCATCACCAAGGACAGCAATAGACTCACCTGGTAGCCGCTTCCTCAACTCTAGCTTGGACAGCCATCTATTTTGATTTCTACTACTTCCGAATCTCTGATTTAATTTACCACTTAGGGACTGGAAAGATTCTTTGTCTTCAGCAGATAGACTCATGTAGTAGGTTCTAGCTTGGTCACGGAGACTAGCAGCAAGGAAAAGAAGTTTTGTTCTATCAGACCACCTACCTAATTCTGCACAGTCCTGGAAATGGGAAATATATTCGTCCCAATCCTCTTTACCATTCTAAGGTTCAGGTTTCATTACAAGGGACATGCCCTGCTGGGAAAAGTCAGTTATAGGGTTACCTAGCTGACGTCTTGGGAAAGGATTTCTATCAAAGTCTGGTGTCATTGGCGCTCGAAGTTCGAAACATTTCAGGGGCTATATTTGGGAACAGGTGAATTATTGGGTCCTTCTAGCCTAACCTGCTTGGGGGAAGGGGGTAGGTCACCTTGACCTGCCTCATTGTGAATATTAAACTGTATTTCTGGGTCAGGGGAGGTATCAGAGGACTCTGCCATGGTCTACTTGTGTAACAATGGCTGGTAAATTAAATTATAAAAATAAATTATTTCGTTTTTTTTTCAGTAAACTTGTACATTTATATATACACACAATATATACACTATATACAACAAAAACCAACACACTGGACAGCTGCGGAATCAAGGAATGGATCCGTATCACAGGATGCTATAAAAGTTTTAGCATCCCACTTCTTACACCAAAAATTGTAAGCTCCCCTGGAATGGCCAAGCTTAAGTTGGGGACGCTACAAAATAATAACTGGCAGTACTCCTGTACTTAAATCCTTGGTCCCTTGGTAATAGGGAAAACATAAGATTCATCTTGGTCTCAATAATATTTATTAATCATAATATAGTTTTCATCTGAACAGGTACAATTCATAATGGTTGGTGGCGTCTACCGTACAGGCTACTATTATAAAAAGGGGGGGTACAATGGCTATAGCAGGATGATCTCCAGAGTTAATTGCAATAAAATAGGTGTCCAGTGTGTTGGGAGATAATTGTCGAACATTTTCTCACCTGGAATCACAATAGTATAGCTATGGTGAAAATATGGGCGGATCTTGGATCTCTACTTTGAATTTACGCGCCTGACAACTCGGCAAATTATCTGTTGACATAATGCGATCGCTCCCTATATATAACCTTCGGAAAAGGGTCACATGACAAGATTCAACCAATACAAATGCTGTACGGCGACGTTCCACCAATCACGACAATGTACGACATCGTACAAAATAAAAATCGTGTCGTACTGTCAAACAAAGTTGTCGTACAATATGGATTATAAACAAACCCAGGAATTAAGTTGTGAAAAGACAAAATAATCAATAAATATGGATGACAAAAGATGTGTCTATAATAAGTAAGTAAACAATTTATATCTGAAACTTGTAAATTTCACAGAAGTAAACTTGCTGACTATGCAGACGATATCGCGGATGGATAAAAATATAGTACAAGTTTTAGACACATGTAATCGGGAATAACAATTACTAAAATGAATATTAGAAATCACAATAATAATTAACATAATTAATAGTAAGTAATTATGCCTGTAATGTAACATGAATAACATGAGGTTAAATACGAAACTAATCTACTTAACATGCACCGATAACGATGGCAGACAGGATGTAAACAAGTTGCATGGCAGCAGATGATTTAAAGTGTTGCAGCTAATCTACACATGTAGAATTGCTAAGATAATGACAGTTAACTCAAGAAATACATGCAGATTTAAGATGAAGGGTAACTAATTCATGGTATGTAAAAATAAATGCAAACATTAACATTCCTGACCAATTTTGGCACAACGTTTTGACACACATGAAATAATATTACAACTTAAGTCCACCCACCCACCCTACTATTATTACACAGTAAACCATAGTAAAATTTTAGACATCTGACAGGTCCTTACAATATTCTCTAACTTCAAGTCTTCCTTGTTTGCATTTTCTTGCTTTTTGCATGATGAAGCTTTTACGTCTCTAACTTCTTCCTTTTTACATAGGAAAAATTCACAGAAATTGGATTATTCTAGTCAATAAACGTATTCTTGGGAAGTATTCAATTGCTCATCATAAGTATATGTATATGTAGTACAATATAATTTAATTTTGTTTGTATTCTAGCCTCTGATTGGTTAATATCCAAAAAGGAACACAAATTATTTTTGTATAACCTGGTTTGGTATGGGGACACACACCCCTGACAACCAGCTGAATCATTTGTATCCATACAATCCTCTCATTTCCAGTCCTCGGAATCCATGGAAAATTCCAGTTTTAATAAATGTACCTTTAACTTTAAAAAATAATTCGATCTTACCACATGTAAACAAACAACAAGGCTGCTAGGCCTATGTATCAGTTTTTACCTCCCCTCGCTTCCCATCACTTCCGTTAGAACTACGTTTGTATTATTGAGCGGCAAATTTGAACTAATAAAAAGCAACGAAATTTTACACCCATAGTTATTTAATGATTTTAAAATTAAATTATAAGGAATGACTCTAATTCTTGGCCAAATTATTCGACTATAACCCGGTTTGGGTCAGTTTACACTGTTTTATTATCCGCTTGGCGGATTATAAAGCGTAAACTGGCCCAAACCAGGTATTACTCGAATAATTTGGCCAAGAATTAGAGTCATTCCTAAAATAGACTGTAAAAGTTGATCATAAGTACATTGTATAAGTGCATGTACAAATCTGTAAAAGTTGATGCGTCAAAGTTTGTAAAATCGTACTTACAATAAATGGTAAAACGCATCCTGAAATGGTTTCATGATGCACTATTATGCACTATTTCTAATCTACGTATATGTACATAAACGGAAATTAAGGTTCATAAACCCTTTGCTCAATCATATAAAATTTTGCTTTAACCGTTATGATTTTCCAAAAGAAAAGTATTTTTTAAGTAAAATACAAACAATTAAAGCAGAGCTTGCGGGGCAAAATTGGACAAAGAACTCACTTCAACTCTACAAATTTACACGGAATTATAGACATTTATGTCATTAAGAGTTATCTCTCTTATCAGAGTTTCAATGAACCTTAAAAAAATCACAAATTCAGATAGTTATGTGGATGCCCTGTTTTATACATGTTTTCTAATCAACCTTTTGCATTTAGAACAAAAGAGATTGAATAGAAAAGATTATTTTTATACTTTAGTTTATACAGATACATGTAGTTCCAAAAAGGGGGAATATGTGTAACACGTGTAAATGTCGAATAAACTACCGCCCTTGCATGTGATTTTTAAACCGATAAAGGTAATAGTCCAATGTAAATTACATCCGAAAATCTGATTGTCTTGATATATTCGTTATAATGAGAGTTTTGTGAACGTTATGAAAAAGGACCAATCCACGACTGCTCCGGTGTCACGCCTTCCTTAGGGCGACATGGATAATGATCCACATAATCATAACAGCTTAATAATGGCCCATCTTTGAAGTCCCCGGGGTTATCCGCCATAGTCTAGACCTTCAACCTCAGAACAGCTGAAAAATCTCTAATACGTCTTTTTTCACGAATATAGGGTTTACCTTCATAAAGTACAACAAAACTGTATCACCTTTCTCATCTCTATGTTAAAAAAATATACAGTGTAACTGGGAATGTGCAAAAAACAAAATGGGCGACACCTTAAATGTTTTTTTAATAATAACAATGCATTTAAAAGCAAGTTCTCTTTACAAAAAAAAACAAACAAAAAAACAAAAACAAAAAAAGTAAAGAAAAG